AGCGGCTGTTTGTTTGACGTCCCACGTGCGACTTGTTCCATGGGGCTGTTGGTGGCCAATTAGCGTGAAAAAAAGTCAGAGGGACACGGAACTTTAGAACCCGTCCCCGGGGCCCGTGACGAGACGCGTGTGTCAGTTTCGGGCCGATCGGGCCTTTCCAACAAGCCGCTTTGCTGGAACCCACACTTAGAACCGATCTAGAACCACCAAATCCAGGATCTAGAACCGGGGGCCCCCGGACTACCGCCGTGCCGAGTTTGGGGCCGCTGCGACCTTTCGACCCCTTTTGGCCCCCGTTTGTTTGACGGCCCACGTGCAACTTGTTCCATGGGGCTGTTGGTGGCCAATTAGCGCCAAAAAAGGTCAGAGGGACGCGGAACTCTAGGGCCCGTCCCAGGGGCCCGTGACGGGACGCATACGTCAGTTTCGGGCCGATCGGACCTTTCTGTCCACCCTTCGGCGAGCACATGGTCCGATTAATGGCCGCCCTCTCTCACACATAGACATACATGCAGTCAGAGTGAACCAAAGTGAGGAGATTTTTGCACTGCAAAAACACACACTTGGAACCGATCTAGAACCCTGCGACCCGGGATCTAGAACCGGGGGCCCCTCGACTACCAGGGCGGGGAATTTGGAGGCGGTGCGACCTTTCGACCCCTGCATTTCCGCCCGCCCACGTGCAACTTGTTCAATGCAAACTTCACAGGCGCTTCCCGGTCAAGGGGGTCTTTTTTCGGGCAAACGAGCTGTTTCGGACGCGGAACTCTAGAACCCGTCCCCGGGGCCCGTGGTGGGACGCATACGTCAGTTTCGGGACAATCGGGCGTTTCCTTCAAACCGTTTGGCCGAAACACATACCTAGAACCGATCTAGAACCGCGCGACCCGTGATCTAGAACCGGGGGCCCCCGGACTAGCGCCGTGCCGAGTTTGGGGCCCCTGCGACCTTTCGACCCCTTTTGGCCCCCCTTTGTTTGACGGCCCACGTGCAACTTGTTCCATGGGGCTGTTGGTGGCCAATTAGCGCGAAAAAAGGTCAGAGGGACACGGAACTCTAGAACCCGTCCCAGGGGCCCGTGAGGGGACACATAAGTCAGTTTCGGGTCGATCGGACCTTTCTGTCACACGTTCCACGAAACACCTGTGAAAATGAATGGGATAAGTTGCAAGTGTCAGTGGCCCCTGTTCGGCCCCCCGAGGTCCCACGGGCCCCAAACGCTGCGTGCCGGGCCCCCTCGGGCCCCCGAACGACATATCAGGGGGACGGGTCTCCAGAACTCAGGGCTCATTTTTTTCCCTCCCTTGTTCAAGTTTCTCTCAAAAGCATCTTGCACTCATAGTGAGCTCATAGACTGACATTCCCTCTCGAAGGGTCAAACTGAAAACACACTCGGAACCGATCTAGAACCCGGCGACCCGGGATCTAGAACCGGGGGCCCCCGGACTACCACCGTGTCGAGTTTGGGGCCGCTGCGACCTTTCGACCCCTTTTGGCCCCCGTTTGTTTGACGGCCCACGTGCAACTTGTTCCATGGGGCTGTTCGTGGCCAATTAGCGCGAAAAAAAGTCCGAGGGACGCGGAACTCTAGAACCCGTCCCCGGGGCCCGTGGCGGGACGCATACGTCAGTTTCGGGACAATCGGGCGTTTCCTTCAAACCGTTTGGCCGAAACACATACCTAGAACCGATCTAGAACCGCGCGACCCGTGATCTAGAACCGGGGGCCCCCGGACTAGCGCCGTGCCGAGTTTGGGGCCCCTGCGACCTTTCGACCCCTTTTGGCCCCCCTTTGTTTGACGGCCCACGTGCGACTTGTTCCATGGGGCTGTTGGTGGCCAATTAGCGCGAAAAAAGGTCAGAGGGACACGGAACTCTAGAACCCGTCCCAGGGGCCCGTGAGGGGACACATAAGTCAGTTTCGGGTCGATCGGACCTTTCTGTCACACGTTCCACGAAACACCTGTGAAAATGAATGGGATAAGTTGCAAGTGTCAGTGGCCCCTGTTCGGCCCCCCGAGGTCCCACGGGCCCCAAACGCTGCGTGCCGGGCCCCCTCGGGCCCCCGAACGACATATCAGGGGGACGGGTCTCCAGAACTCAGGGCTCATTTTTTTGCCTCCCTTGTTCAAGTTTCTCTCAAAAGCATCTTGCACTCATAGTGAGCTCATAGACTGACATTCCCTCTCGAAGGGTCAAACTGAAAACACACTCGGAACCGATCTAGAACCCGGCGACCCGGGATCTAGAACCGGGGGCCCCCGGACTACCACCGTGTCGAGTTTGGGGCCGCTGCGACCTTTCGACCCCTTTTGGCCCCCGTTTGTTTGACGGCCCACGTGCAACTTGTTCCATGGGGCTGTTGGTGGCCAATTAGCGCGAAAAAAAGTCAGAGGGACGCGGAACTCTAGAACCCGTCCCCGGGGCCCGTGACGAGACGCATGTATCAGTTTCGGGCCGATCGGGCCTTTCCAACAAGCCGTTTTGCTGAAACCCATACTTAGAACCGATCTAGAACCACCAAATCCATTATCTAGAACCGGGGGCCCCCGGACTACCGCCGTGCCGAGTTTGGGGCCGCTGCGACCTTTCGACCCCTTTTGGCCCCCGTTTGTTTGACGGCCCACGTGCAACTTGTTCCATGGGGCTGTTGGTGGCCAATTAGCGCCAAAAAAGGTCAGAGGGACGCGGAACTCTAGGGCCCGTCCCAGGGGCCCGTGACGGGACGCATACGTCAGTTTCGGGCCGATCGGACCTTTCTGTCCACCCTTCGGCGAGCACATGGTCCGATTAATGGCCGCCCTCTCTCACACATAGACATACATGCAGTCAGAGTGAACCAAAGTGAGGAGATTTTTGCACTGCAAAAACACACACTTGGAACCGATCTAGAACCCTGCGACCCGGGATCTAGAACCGGGGGCCCCTCGACTACCAGGGCGGGGAATTTGGAGGCGGTGCGACCTTTCGACCCCTGCATTTCCGCCCGCCCACGTGCAACTTGTTCAATGCAAACTTCACAGGCGCTTCCCGGTCAAGGGGGTCTTTTTTCGGGCAAACGAGCTGTTTCGGACGCGGAACTCTAGAACCCGTCCCCGGGGCCCGTGGCGGGACGCATACGTCAGTGTCGGGACAATCGGGCGTTTCCTTCAAACCGTTTGGCCGAAACACATACCTAGAACCGATCTAGAACCGCGCGACCCGTGATCTAGAACCGGGGGCCCCCGGACTACCGCCGTGCCGAGTTTGGGGCCCCTGCGACCTTTCGACCCCTTTTGGCCCCCCTTTGTTTGACGGCCCACGTGCAACTTGTTCCATGGGGCTGTTGGTGGCCAATTAGCGCGAAAAAAGGTCAGAGGGACACGGAACTCTAGAACCCGTCCCAGGGGCCCGTGAGGGGACACATAAGTCAGTTTCGGGCCGATCGGACCTTTCTGTCACACGTTCCACGAAACACCTGTGAAAATGAATGGGATAAGTCGCACGTGTCAGTGGCCCCTGTTCGGCCCCCCGAGGTCCCACGGGCCCCAAACGCTGCGTGCCGGGCCCCCTCGGGCCCCCGAACGACATATCAGGGGGACGAGTCTCTAGAACTCAGGGCTCATTTTTTTGCCTCCCTTGTTCAAGTTTCTCTCAAAAGCATCTTGCACTCATAGTGAGCTCATAGACTGACATTCCCTCTCGAAGGGTCAAACTGAAAACACACTCGGAACCGATCTAGAACCCTGCGACCCGGGATCTAGAACCGGGGGCCCCCGGACTACCACCGTGTCGAGTTTGGGGCCGCTGCGACCTTTCGACCCCTTTTGGCCCCTGTTTATGTGACTTCCCACGTGCAACTTGTTCCATGGGGCTGTTGGTGGCCAATTAGCGTGAAAAAAGGTCCGAGGGACGCGGAACTTTAGAACCCGTCCCCGGGGCCCGTGACGAGACGCGTGTGTCAGTTTCGGGCCGATCGGGCCTTTCCAACAAGCCGCTTTGCTGGAACCCACACTTAGAACCGATCTAGAACCACCAAATCCAGGATCTAGAACCGGGGGCCCCCGGACTACCGCCGTGCCGAGTTTGGGGCCGCTGCGACCTTTCGACCCCTTTTGGCCCCCGTTTGTTTGACGGCCCACGTGCAACTTGTTCCATGGGGCTGTTGGTGGCCAATTAGCGCGAAAAAAGGTCAGAGGGACGCGGAACTCTAGAACCCGTCCCAGGGGCCCGTGACGGGACGCATACGTCAGTTTCAGGCCGATCGGACCTCTCTGTCCACCCTTCGAGGAGCACGTGGCCTGAGACTAAGACCATGGTGAAGTTCGGGTGGTCAGGGGACCCCCCAGGCACTCCGTGGCAATGAAGAAGAGGATAGGTTGTTAGGGGTCAAAAAAGGCTCCTCGTGGTACTGAGGAAGACTGTGGTGAAGTTCAGGTGGTTAGGGGACCCCCCAGGCACTCCGTGGCAATGAAGAAGAGGACAGGTGGTTAGGGGTCGAAAAAGGCTCCCCGTGGCACTGAGGAAGACTGTGGTGAAGTTCAGGTGGTTAGGGGACCCCATAGGCACTCCGTAGCAATGAAGAAGAGGACAGGCGTTTAGGGGTCGAAACAGGCACTTCGTGGACCACGAGGAAGACTATGGTGAAGTTTGGGTGGTTAGGGGACCCCACAGGCACTTCGTGGCGATGAAGGAGAGAAAAGGTAGTTAGGGGTCGAAATAGGCCCTCCGTGGCACTGAGGAGGACTATGGTGAAGAGCAGGTAGTTGGCGGACCCCAAAAGCACTTGGTGGACCACCCGGTAGTGCACTGGCACCCCTATAGGCTACCACACAGAGCCTATGTTAATTTATGCTGATTTTGGCTACTTTATATGCGATTTCGGAAAGAGTACCACTCACCATCCGAATAAGCAGGATCTGGCGTCCTTTTCGAGCACGCGGACTTCGGAGTGCATATGATGACGATGGCAACTTAAATGAATGGGAAAATTCCCACAGACAGCCTGGGTTCCCTTACTACCTAGCTAGCCAGTAACCAAGAGAAAACTGTTTAATCAAAAAAAGAATGGCAACCTCGCTCCCTTCGGCTTTCAAATAAACATTCAAACATATTGCACTTAACTCAGCAAAAGAATAAACTGGGTTAAATAAACTAAATCAATAAACAAAAGACAATAAACTTACAACATTCAGACAAAAGAAAAACATGTCTTCATGATCACACCGTGAGAATTTCCACACAAGGAAACCCCACTAAAAGATCAGCACACCAACGCGGCTGATCTAAACAACTGGTCTGGGGCAGGAGACAACGGACCGCGGAGCTCCACGACGCGCGTGCAAACAGAGCTCCCCACACTGCAGTGTATCGCAGTAGTTAACCGCTCCGCGCCTCCTCATAATCAACCACAGCTGCGCCCAATCAAGCCCTGCACAGAGTGAGAGGGAGAGAGAGAGAAGACAAACTACACACAACATCAAATCACAACAATAAAAGAAATAACAAAAATAAACATAACACATTGTCCTAGGACGTAACAATACATATATTTTTCATTTGATTGGTTCAACCGCCCGCCACCCGCCCGAATTTAATTAAAATATTTTTTTTCGTCACGTCATCCGCCCGATCCGCGGTTTATCCGCGGAGTCCGCGGCTGTAACCGCCAACCGCGCATCTCTACTCTGTAGATTCAAATCGCTGTTATTTTAGGGTATTACGCTTCTCTCAGGGCAGGAGTACTCAATAAATTTATTTTAGGGTATTACACGCTACTCTCAGGACAGGAGTACTCAATAGATTCAAATCGGTGTTATTTTAGTTTATTACGCGCTGCTCTCAGGGCAGGAGTACTCAATATATTCAAATCACTTTTATTTTCAGAGCACTATGAAGTAGGGTATTCCTGAAATATTGGAGGCTGCCGTTTTAGAGGACCCTAGTTTTTCTTGTAGAATTAGCAGTTTGTAATATTTTATAGCACTTACTATTCAATTCTGTATTTATGTTATTATTTTAGTTGTTTATACAACTAAGTTGTTTATACAACTTTTAGTTGTAAATACAACTATAGCTATCAGCTCCCAGGGCATTCTTCAGGGCATCACTGTTGTACAACTAAAGCAAAGTTGTAACACAATCCCATAATGTACAGTGTACAAAATATTTTTTCCCCTCATTTGTTCTATAGGTAGCACTTTATTTTCCTGTTCCCTATGTTATGCACTTATTATAGTAACTGGGTAATAACAAGGAACTAACCCTGAACCTTCCCCCAAACCTAACCTTAACCCATTTAGTTACCTTATATTACCAAGTACTTTCTTAGGTAAGTACACTGTAAAGTACATGTAAGTGCACATACTGTAAAAAAAGTGTAACCGTTCTATATTGATATTTTGGTATATTTTTTTTCAGTTTATTTTTTGCTGGTTTTATAGTCTAGTAAATCTATACACAATTTTAAGGGTATTTGATTATTTTTAATCGTTTCATTGTTACATCAGTAGACCATTTATTTTCTGTCTATTCTTGACTTTTCTTTTTATCTCATTCTTCAGTTACCTGAATGAGCTGACAGAGACTGGATGAATCAAAGGAGCTAACACTGAAGATGCCTCTGATGCTGGCCAGTCTATGATTACAAAAGGCCTGGATGCAAAGATGGAGAATGTTTGGTTCCACCTGATACAAGCGCACAATCTCACAGAGTTGAGTTTGTGATGCATACATGATGAAACAGTCGAATCAAAATGCATACAATACGATATTTAGACGATGATTATTAGTTCTGTGCATTTTAATGTTCGCTGATTATCTTAATAAACGTTAGAGGATGCTGAATTTTAACAAAATATTAAATTCACTTACCTTGCAGTTGCAATAAATGTTTTCTCCCACGAACATCTGTTTGTCTTGTATTGCGAGTCTAACTAATATCCCTCTGCACGTTCAAACGTCTTGACCCCGCCTTTGCTTCAGTTTCATTGGTTGAAGCTGTAAACCAATCATTTTCCTTTCAGTCGCTCACGTTCGACGTAACGTCGACGTGACGGCGTAATTGGGATCGCCTTGAGAGACCAATCTACTTCGAGAGTATTAAAACGAGCCAATGCATATTGGCATGCAATAATTGCATCAGCTGCTCTGCTTGCAGCGCGAGCATATAACGAGTAGCAGATGCGTTGCATATTGTCTTTCGCTTCTTTGCCGAGCGGTTCTACTGTTCCTGCTCTACAATCTTCTGACAGTGTTCAACTTCAAAGAAGAAAACGAGTCTGCTCTTCAGGGGAACGCCTCTTCAAAGTTGGTGTTGGTGTTACAGCGCAGACAGCGCTGGCTGCAATCTCACGAGAGCTGGCAAAACAGCTGTTTTCACAGCTCAGAATGTTGCGCCTTCAATGAGAATGTGAGTGCTCACATCAGGCTTGCACTATCGTCCTGTTTGTGTAGCCGCGGTCATCCCTGGGTGCTTTAGCACCAGAGAGAGCAGTTTTTCCTGAAAGAGCAAACACGGTTTGACACTGCGTCTTTTTCAAGACGTCATTCAAACCGTGCGTTTCTGGATGCGGTCGTTTCCTATCCTCATGTGACGGCCACGATCACCGTTTCACAAGCCTGGGCTTAAGTGTGCTGAAACTGTGCTCGTGGGTGGTTTATGTTCTCTCTGAAAGCATGACCACGTCGCCACATTGTTCGTCTTGCCTTTCTCAAGGTTTAAGTGATCAGCGTGCCGTGTGCCGTCGAGCTGCCAGCTGACAGCACGGGTTGACACGGCAACCCAGCCCGCGTCGTTCGGCGTTCTAGATGTGCGGTCGAGACTCAAGTGCCTCAAACGAGGTGGAGTCCCCTCGTCTATGCCCCGATCTAGTTCTTTTTCTGGTGCTTCAGAAAAGGGCTACTTCTGCGTATAGCCAGGGTGACCGGAGGATTATAGTGAGGGCTCCCCCAGCCCGGTAACCAATCCGTGTGGGCCCCTCACTCCTCTATCACATCGCATACATGTGAGACTCTGTTTGTGGGTGGTTGTATTCTCTTATGAGAACATTACTACATAAGCACATCGTTCGTCTTGCCTTTTTCATTAAGGTTAAGCGATCAGCGTGCTGTGTGCCGTCCAGGCGACGGCCACATTCACTGTCTCGCATGCCTGGCAGCTTCTGGATGGGATGCTGGTCATTCTCATGATGGACCTAGCATTTCATTCGGAGCTCCAGGAGAGGATAGACATCGATTGCTACATCAGAGAGAGGGTTGTCACGCTCTAGAAATGAAGATGATGCTGAGCTCCACTATAATGGTGTGCATGCTCACGCTGAATCAGATTCAGACTTGACAGCCATGCTTTCCCGGGTTACACTGGGGGCACAGTGCGACGGGTAATTGCCTTGCCCCGCCCCCGTGCCTTCCTGGATGTGTGTGAAGAACTTTTTGCAGTATGAAAGGATTTTGGTGCCAATGTGGCAAGCCAAACGTGCCAAAAGCTGCAGAAAGTTTTTCCTCTCTCACTACCCTCAATGGTGGGGCGACAGTGCTACTGCAGACCGCCTCTTCCCTGCAGGGTAGTTCTGAGTCGGGGTTGAGCTGCGCCTGGTGACTGACCGTGGTCTAAGTCACAGTGCTGGCCCTCGGCCAGATGATGTCCACCCTAGTGGTCCAGAAGCGCCCCCTGGCTAAACCTGGCAGAGGTATGAGACATCGCCAAAGTTCGCTTTCCCGATGCTCCCACCCGGAGGAGGGCCGGGTGGAGAACTTTTGTTGAATCATTAGCCAGCGGTACCAAATTCTCAGCAAAAGCAGCTTCTCTATCTCTGGGTCCCAAGAGAGCGAGGTTGGCGGTGTGCGATGCTATGCCTTGCCACCCTCTGCCCCCTCTTGCTTCGCCAGCGGTAGCCTGATGTGCTCGAGGCCGCACCTATGCCGTCTCACTCATCCCCTACCGATCGGTGGAGTCAGGTTAGTGTTGCACACTCAGACCCCACTTCGGGCCACTATGCCGTCCGAGTCGGGTCCCTGCATTCCGCCGCGCTGCCCCACCTCGGGTACGTCTGTCGTGCCGTTGGTCCCGCTTGTACGGTGTCTGGGACCCTGGCTAGCGCTTCCCGACCTAAAGGACGCGTACTTTCATGTCCGATTCTCCCTCGACACAGACCGTTTCTTTGCTTTGCGTTCGAGGGACGGGCATATCAGTACAAAGTCTTACCCTTCGGGCTGGCCCTGTCGCCCCGTGTCTTCACGAAAGTCGCGGAGGCGGCCATTGCTCCCATGTGCGAGCGTGGTGTTCGCATTCTCAACTACCTCGACGACTGGCTTATTCTCGCCCAGTCGAGAGAGCAGTTGTGCGAACACAGGGATATGGTGCTCAGTCACCTCAGCCACCTAGGGCTTCGGGTCAACTAGGAAAAGAGCAAACTCACCCCTGGGCAGAGGATCTTTTTTCTCGTTATGGAGCTGGACTCGATCAACATGACAGCGCACCTCACGAGGCCCGCGTCCAGTCAGTGTTGAACTGCGTGAGCACACTCAGACGCAGAACAGCGGCACCACTGAAACTTTTCAGAGGCTCCTTGGGCATATGGCATCTGCAGCCGCGGTAACACCACTCGGATTGCTTCATATGAGGCCGCTCCAACACTGGCTCCACGATCGAGTCCCGAGATGGGCGTGGAAGAGCGACTCATGCCGGGTCCAAGTGACCCCATACTGTCGCCAAACTCTCAGCTTGTGGTCGGACCCTTCGTTTCTGCGGGCAGGTGTTTCCCTAGAACAAGTGTCCAGGCATTCTGTGGTCTCCACGGTTGCCTCTGCCACCGGCTGGGGGGACACGTACAACGGGCATGCAGCTTCAGGTCTGTGGACGGGGCCTCAACTGCATTGGCACATCAACTGCCTCGAGCTGTTAGAAGTACATCTTGCGCTGGGCCGCTTCAAAATGCCGCTACTAGGCAAGCATGTACTGGTCCATTTGGACAGCACTGCGACCGTTGCGTACATCAACCGCCAGGGTGGTCTTCGCTCCCGTCGCATGTCACAACTCGCCCGCCATCTCCTCCTCTGGAGTCAGAAGCATCTGA